GCTTGTTTGGTCCCTGTTTTCTCACTGATGATATCACAACACACTGGCCCGTGGGTTTCTTTGTGTTGTCTTTCCTTGGGGTTCGTTGAATTTCTTCAAGCTGTGACATCAACAGATTTGGGGACTGGGTGAAAACGTAACAGCCATATTTTAAGATTGGCCTCCTGCCCTCGGGTCCTATCTAGAACTTCAGCAGCAGGTTTGGTAAGATTGTCCCTCGTCCCAGGGGTCACTAGGAAGCTCTTCAGTTTTTCCAATTCCTCCCCAATTTTGTCTGTTCCAGTTTGGATATTTTTCAGATTGTTTAGTCTTCAAATGTATCGAACTCTTATTTTGTGGCTAATTAATGGCCGATAAGCTCATCTTACGTGTTCTTCACGTCAGACATGCCTTTCATCTCCAGAGGGTCGCGAGCTTTCCTGTCTTCTGTTTTCCTCTCATGTGATTCCTTTTAGAGTTTTCAGTCATCTGAACATGTTTACACTCGGCTTTCATTGCCTGGCCTGTGAGGTCTTACATCCTGCTGCGTCTGGATTCCTGTGTGTGTCCCCTTCTTCCCCTGCATGGGAGTTGTGTTGGATTGAATGCTGGGCTTGTTTTCTTCTTGTTATTGTTTAGTGTAAGATCAGTGAATGTTTTGTTGTATTTCCATTAAAATGGTTAGGGCAGACCCCAGAGTAGAGGTGACCAAGCTTCACGGAAGTAGACTTCTGAGGTCACGACCTCAAGGCCCAGACCCTCCAACAAAGACTTTCTATTCCAACTGGACAGGACTCACATGTCAGCCAGCCAAGGGAGCTCAGGGGATTGTTTAATTTATAGAAACTCATTTGTTTTTTTGTCAGACTCCGTAAAGCAGACCCTGCACATTGCGACTTGATCTTCAGCCCCAACCCCAATGAAATGCCGTATGGATTTCTTTGTCTGCCTAGCTCCTTCCTGTCTGGCACTTGGACCTTTTTCCCTCACAGATTCTTTCTGCCTGAGCCTTCCAGAATGCTGTTCTGTGTTCCCCTCACTGGAGGAGACCACGGCGTTCCCGAGTCTGTCCTCTAGGGACTGCCGTTGGAGCTCCCTACCAGACAGAAAGCAAGCTGGACTCAGCATTCAGAAAGACTCACCTCACCTCTTCCCTCCTTTCTTGGACCACAGCCGGTCCTTCCTTTGCCTAATATCTGTAAACAGTCTCTCAGAGTTAATCTAGTTCCCTGGTTGTTTATAGTCGACAGGCCAATCTAGTCCGGTTTATGAGGACATTGTGAGTGTCTCCTAGACATTCAGGCACCCGTTGAGTCTGTCAACAGAAGAGTCCTGGAGATCACTGTGTGCAGGATCGGCTTGCACCGAGCTTGGACCCAAGACTGTGGTGGCACATCTGGACAGGTAGGAGCTCTGACAGTTGAGAGGAAAGGGGTGACCTGGGACTCCCACTCTTTCTGAGACCTTTTCCAAAGTCTTCTTGTGTAACAGGTATGTGGGTCGGGGACAGCTCATGCATTCGAACTCTCCTAGGTGTAAGAAGGACTCTCGGGCTGGAGACTCTAAATCTCATGTTTCACGTATGGCCTGAGATATCCTCCTCCGTTCACATGTTTGTGGCACTTCCTTTGCATTTTCTTCTTCTGTATCAGAGCTGTTGATTGAGTGCTTTCTAAAAGCACTCTCTTTAGGGCTTGGCATTTACAATTTACTTACTATCACCATGACCTGGCTAAGGCGGATGCTAGCATGTCTGTGCCTGCTTTCACTCCTGAAGAAAGCGCAGTTCAGAGAGATGGAGAAATTTACCCAAGATTATATAATTGCAAGTAGTACAGCCAGGATTTGAACCTATGCCCTTCTCACTTTGTACTTGGCATTCTGTTTTTGAGACAAAGTCTCCTGTATCCCAGGCTGGCCTCTGGTTCACTGTATAGCTGAGGATGATCCTGAACTTCTGGTACCCTTGCATCTTTCTCCCAAGTGCAGTTGTTACAGACATGTACCAGAAGGGCCCAATTTTAAATGGTGCTGAGGATGGAACCCAGGGCTTCATAACCACTAGGCAAGAACTGTACCGACTGAGCTACATCCCGTTTGCATGGCATGTTTGATATCAGGCCGCATGCCCCTCCCTTATCACAGGCTGCCTTTGTGCTGCTGGTGGCTTCTGTTTGTCTCCTTGGCATTTGAATCAGTTGAGACTCTGAAGGTTGTAGTTACAAATCTGTGTCTTCCTAGCCCCGCGGAGCCAGGAAGTGCCATCGCTTTTGTTAGTCACCTTAAAAAAGAAACAGCCCTAAATGCTTGGAATTAATGTCAATAATGTAATTAAATATCAAAACTACATCTGTCCGTGTGACTTCGTTTGACCTGCCTTTGTCCCTACAGAGTTTAGTTTCTGGAGTCAGCTAGTATTGGAAAGTGACTGCCTAGAAGACAACAGCTGTGAACAAGGGACACAGCATCTCTTTATTTCTGTTGTGTTGTGAAGCATACACATCCAGTACCTGCAAACTGGAGGGAACTGTGTTCTGCGATATTTGTTGCTTTGTGTCAGACATAATTTCTCTTTTCTGACAAGACAGAGTTTACATGTTCTATCCTGTCGAAAACACTTATTTAATAATACCAACGCTAGATGTTCAGCAGTTATTGATAAATTGCGTTAAGGTAAGACATGTGCAATGCCACAAGCAGAGCCCCTGGCCAGTTCCTTGAACTTCTCTTTTTATTTGCTGATCAAATACAGCACGGGTCTGGATCACGTTTGTCAGAACAGGGTAAAGCACTTTCTACAGCATCCTGGGTGGCCGCCTGTCAGCATCCCCAGGGAGGATGTCAGAGCTTCTGGGTGCTTTTCGGGGCATCATCAGCTTTCCCTTTCCCAACTCCAGGCTGAAGTGGTACCTGTGCTGGAAGGCAGAGTTGGTACAGCATCTGGAAGCCTTCTGCAGCTAGATTCACAAGTCTGTGCAGACTGGCATTTGTCGGGCCAGAGTGTAAATATAAGGTGCGGGAGCCAGAAGCTGTTAAGAATCCATTTCAGAGCTCCTGAAAAAATCTCTAATTAGTCAATTAAAAAAAAAAAAACACCTCCAGCGTTTGAAGCTCCGAGCAAGAGGAGAAGCGGGCAGAGGGAGATGGGTGGGATTTTTCCGTCTCTGAAATTAGAAGCTCAGAGAAACAGGGGAACAGGCCCTTATAGGCAGCAGTTGCTGCGTGTGTGGAAAGCTGTGGAAAGCAGCTAGGAAGACTACTGAGACCGGGCAGTAGTGCGTGCTGGAAATAGGAGGTGGAACAAGTGGAACACAAAGGAAAGGAGACTGGGGATGGATTATAAGGGAGGACCAGAGGTAGAGGGGGTGGGGGAGAGGTGGTGGAGGGAGGGTCACTAAGGTGCACTTCGTTCAAAATCACAGTGATGTCTAAATCTTATACTAGTTTAGATAATGAAAATAGAAATGAATATGTAGTTCTGATTCTTCAGTGATTTTTCAAGAGCTTTTTCATCTCATTTCCTCTGGGTTGTTCTCCACGGAAGAGGCCGTGTGTGCATGCCACATAACCATACCCGGACCCTTGAGATCTGTTCTAAGATTTTGGAGCTATGATTTTTGTTTTTTAAGGCTTTGGAGCATTTGTACATCCCTGAACTGAAAATCTGAAACTGAAAATCCAGACTCGAAGGGCACTCAAAAAGTTTCAAATTTTGGAGCCTTTCCAGCATGGAGTTTTCAGATAGATGTTAGGTTGGCCAGGCGGTGGTGGCACACGCCTTTAATCCCAGCACTCTGGAGGCAGAGGTAGGCAGATCTTTGTGAGTTTGAGGCCAGCTTGGTCACAGAGTGAATTCCAGGACAGGCTCCAAAGGTACAGAGATACCCTGTTTCGAAAAACCAAAAAACAAACAAACAAACAAAAAAACAGATGAATGCTAGGCTGCATTCACACCAGGCTGACTCTGAGTAGAACATTGTGTCTGCCATTGCAGAAATTACACATTCATCCTTTCAGTCACTAAACAGGTATGTACTTACTATTTGCTGACATGTATTGTATGTTAACGTGCACCAAGAGCAGTTATTGTCACTGGAAGTAATAAACCAGGCGGCAAGTGAGTTTGCTGCCTTTCTTTATACCTTCGTGTTCATGGGGCAGTCCGTAGTATGTAAACAAAAATTCAGTCTTTAATTAGAGTAATTTTTGTCTTGAGTTGGGGATCGAACTCAAGTCCTAGAACTCCTGGAGCAAGCTAGACAAGTGCTCTCTCAGCGAGCGACAGCCCCAGCCTGCAATTTTTGAGAGGAAATAGGTTAGCTTTTAAAAATCCGACTACTGCTGACTGATAAGTGTGTAACAATAGCCAGGAAGTTAAATATTGTGCTGTAATAACAGTATGATCATGTGGTGTGTGTGTGTGTTTTGTGTATGTGTGGCACGTGTGTGTGTGTGAGTGTGTATTACTGGGGATGGGACACAGCCTTGTGCACATTGTGCCTAGTTTTTCACGGTTCTGAACTACATAGAACCCTAAACTTGGGGTTGGTCTTTCATGTTCATCTTTTGCAGCTCACAGTGGGTCTGCAAAGTCCATGTTACTAGTCCCATTCATCCACATGAAAAGGTTGAGGTCTATAAGGGACCGAATTTGGTCAAGATGGTAGAAAGTTATCTGTGGTGAAGCCCTCTGCAGTCATACTTTTACCTTCTGGCCATAAGTCACGGTTTGTGTCTGTGCTATGGCTCGACACATATTGGATTAATCAGCCCCAAATTCTTTCCTTTCTACATTTCACATTAAAAGTCTGAAGACTAGAAACCCTCTATATCACAAGAGATCCACTTTTTGCCTCTGACTCTTACGGTACTCTTAATGGAGCCTGCATCTCCTTAGGGGAAGCGTGTTTCTAGATCTCAGTCACTGCCAAGCTTTTCCAGATCAGCCTCCTGACTGCTAATTGCACTTCCAAAGTAAGTCTTCCTTGGGGAAATGGATGGAAGTCTGAGCTGAGACACAAACAGGAAGGCGGCAAGGCGACGGCTGTCCGGCAGGCAGCAGCTCTTTACACAGCTGAAGGGCAGAGGGAATCTGCTCTCCACAGAGCCACGCGGACTCCACTGCCCTTTCTTCCTTGGCCGCGGGGCCCAACCCTGCTTGTCCTGTGGGAGGACAGGGCAGCGCTCAGTGGTGTGAGGTTGAGAAGGCTGGCCGGAGATGGCGTCCCTGCCTCCAGGCCATGAGGGCACCCCGTGACAGAGCTGTTCTGTGTCTCTCGTCTCTGAGACTTTTGTCCTGCTGGTCGGTAAGTCTCCAGATGCTCCCGTCAGCAGCATCGCAAGCTCTGGGCTCCTTTCTGAGGCCACGTCTCCCATTTATCTAAAAGAAGGGAGCAAAATTGGCCGCAAGAGCTGTTTGTAAAATCCAGTTTCCAGTGGCCGCTTTGGTGGCGCTGGTGATAAGCATCTTGGTGGTTTATAGGTACATCGTGTGACAATAGTAAATTGTGGTCGTTTTAGCCCTTTACGGGAGGTTGTGTCTCGTGATGGTTATGGATATGAGCTTCTAACACGTGATAGAGAAAGAAACAAAGTAAATCTTATTACTGATGTAAAAGCCTGGTTTTAAAATGCCTTAATGCATTGGCCTTAAGAATGCGTGGCTTAAAGGCTCTTGGTTCTAGTTCCTAGTTTGAGGTGAGTGGCTTGAAACAGTCTAATCCAGTCTTCCTAGCTAGTTCTCTAAGTTTAGTAACATTTACTCCAGTAAACTCACTCTGCCAGCTGTTCCACCCTTGAGTGGAATTACTTCCATCTCTAGTCAGGGTAACAAAGCCTTGCCAGCTTGGTTTTTGTTCTGAGACAAAGGACACCACGAGCCAGGAGTGGCCTTGGCGAGTAGGACCTTCATTCTGTGCCGCTCCGAAGGACAGACTTCTGCTCCGGGGTTTGGGGTTTGGCTGATTCCCATATGTCCTTGGCATTTGCCCTTTCCCTGACCTCTGTGTACAGGTTTTCCCTTTGCTTTCTGTGTGGACTGCTGTGGGTTGATTAGCACCCATGATTAGTATGTGCTGAAGCCCAGACCTAATGAGCTCAATTGCAGGAGCCTTACAAACGCAGGCTGCTCTCAGTAAGGCTTCCACAGTGTTGATGAAGCTCTCCTCCTGCTTCATCTGTGCACCTCCCTCTCTCCTGTCTGTCTCGTGTGCAGGAGGGCACAGGACAAGAGGAAGCAGAGCGGCTGCACATTTCAGTTTTATTTCCTTTAAATCATATCGGAATCCTCTGATTGCGTATTATATTTTTTAACTTAAATATACGATCCTTGTATCTTTCAGTCTGCACCCACAGTTATTTTGTTTTAAGACTGGTCTAACTAGAGCATTTTGTGATCTAAAAGTAAAGACCACTTGGACCCCACGGCACCTTCTTTCTGGAGTCTCCCAGAGTGCAACAGGAAGCCCACCTTGACGAGATGTTGCTTGCTTGTGGACCGTGTGGCGGGTAGGATGCATCGCATTGGTGGGCGGTAAAACTTGGATTTCGGTCCTAGACAAAAGCAGCTGCCAACTGCAGGCCCAGAATACCGTAAGCAATTCCATCGTAGTACTTAGGATGGGACATTAGCGTCTCTCTCTCTCTCTCTCTCTCTCTCTCTCTCTCTCTCTCTCTCTCTTCTTTTAAAATAATGACTAAACTGGTGCTCTGATGTCCGTCCCCAAACACAGTTCTGTCCTTAAGCCTTTAAGCCATAGTTTGTTTCAGCCTGTGCATTCCGTGGTTTCTTTCTGATAGCCGGAGTTCTGTATATCACCGCCACCGCCCTCCCGCCACTACCTCGAGACAAGATGAGCCGAAAGGAATCCATAGCTCTCAACAGGAAGAAGTGGGACTAAGTCAGGACCCACTGGAAGGCTGTAGTTGAGCTACTGCTGGGCTAGTTTATGCTGCTTAAACCTAGAGGTGGCTTGGCTGCCTCAAACAGACCCCTGCCTGGAAACCTTCCGAAAGTTGAGGGTGAAAACAGTTCAACCTAGAAGTACAGTGTTGTGGGCGCAGAGCCGGAGCCCCCAGCCAGAACTGGGAGCTCTGTGGTTTGTTGGTGCTGGGTGAGAAGACCAGCCAGAGATGCAGGACTGTAGCAGAACAATGTCCCCGTGCTTATGTAAACAGAAGGGAGGAGAAGTGAGAGGTGTTTCTCGGACACAAAAGCCTGGAGAGTACTTAGGAGAAAGAAAGGAAAACTCACACTCTGGAGAGGAATGTTTGGCCACGCACCAGCTGATTTGGTAGACACTCATTGTTAAATGACTTTAGTGGCAAATAAATGACAGGCTTGGAAAACTTCATTTGCCTAACAGCGAGCCAGCAAACCTGGGCCTGTGGGCTGGGAAGATGAGCCCAAGGCCCCTTCCCTTGCCAGATGTGTTTGGTGAATACAGGCCCTTATGGATGCTCATGGCAAAATTGGGGCTCACCAGGTAAGCATAATTACTGCTTGGCTCCATCCAGATCACACCAGCGCTGACTTTCCAAAAATCTAACCTTCCAATGAATGAATGAGTGAGTGAGTGAGTGAGTGAGTGGTGATTTGGAACATAGGCAGCCCCTTGGTTTGTGCACCAGGAAAGCTGCTGTTGAGTGTGTCCCGGTGGCTTTGTTTATCATAGTGGTATGCGGCTCTCTGAGTCCCAGGTAAGTGGACGCTGCAGATGTCTCGATCTTGGTTTTTTTGCTGCTCCTCTGTGGCCGGAACTCCTGCCAAGCCACATTCTTATCACCTGGTGAAGGAAAACTGGGGCTGCAGCAAAACGGCTTTTGCTTTTCCCGTACACCAGGTTCCTAGATCCTGCTGCCATGTGGAGAGAATGCACAGTGACCTGAGATTAGTCCAGGAAGCAATGTGGGGAGACCCCACAGATACGGTGGAAATGGGTGTCCGTCTGTGAGTGTACCTGTGCGTTTATTTGCCATTTATTTCAGTGTTCTTTTTATGCATTTTTTCTCTCTTCTCTTCTTTCTCCTTTCTTCCCCTTTTCCTTCTTTTCTTCCCTTTTACAGTAGGGTCTTGCCATGTAACCCAAGTTGGCCTTAAACTGGCCATCCTCCTGTTTCACCCTACAAATGCCAGGGTCACAGGCGCACACCACTCTGCCTAGCCTAGACCTTCTTTTATAGTAGTAAACACATGTCACCCATCCTTCCATTTCAAGTTTTGTTAACTATGAATAATTCAATAGGGATGAGTCTGCTTGTATGCAGTATGAAAGCATCACGGGCTTGGTCCTGTAACTCCTCTCTGCGAGTTTCTTTAAAGAAAGAAAACCCTTTTAAGTCATTCTGTGGCTGTCTCATGCCAATAGGAACTTCTTATTTATTCAAAATTTCATTCAAGTCCGCAGAACAGAAGCAAGCAGAACCAGCATTAGGCAAACCCACAGTAGATTGTTTTAAGAAATGGCATAACTTCCTAAGTATTAAGGGTGTCCAAAATGTTAGATTTTGGAAATATGTGGGGATTTATGGTAGTGGTAGGGGTAGGTTCTAGATGCTATCAAGAGAAGGGAACTTTGAGACAGAAAACTTGGTACAGGTTTTTGTGACCCATTTCATTTTGCTCTGTTTATTTCATTTTTTCAGATTTTGCTAGTAGTCTATGCTTGCTAGGAGCTTAAGATACCCAGAATGGCTGGGTCAAGCATGCACCACCCTGCCCTGCAGTGTGATACGGGATTTACAGACTTGGCTCTGGCAGGTGCTGACTTGGGGGTGAAGAGGGGAGGCTAGAAAGAGGGGAAGAATCTGAGTCTCTGTACTCTTCCCAAGTCTCCCCCCAGAGCCAGCGCCCTCTGTGTGTTCTTTGCTTTAACTCCCAGCTTCTTCCCAGATTGCTATTTGAAAATAAATAAATATTCCCACTAAGGTAAACAAGTCCTGAGCAAACACCTCTGTCAGCACACTGCGGACTCTCCCTGCCAGCTGAGTGCTTGGCTCCGTCCTGCTTCTGATCCCCAAGAATCAATTCCTGTGGGGGCCAGTTCCTAACGCCCCCCCTCTAGGTGTGCCGGGGATGTGTCACAGGTGTTTGTACACACATGGCTTCATTAATCTTCATACATGCCCCTGGAGCAGGCTTACAGGCGAGGAACCTGAGCGGGTAAGGGTCTGGCTCAAGTTCGTTTAATTTCTAGCACCAGATCAAGGAGAACCAGAATTTGATGCTGGGGTCTGGGTGCCCTTCCCCACACCAAACTGAATGAATGGATGGTCCGGTGTGTTCTCTGTGTTCTGCCGGGCAGAAGTAGGAAGACTCGAGTTGTGATGATAATAGCTACAAGACTTTGAATTCTCCACTGGGGCCACTTTCCTGCATCAATGAGGGCTCCATTTTCTCTCCTTAGTTTTCAGGGCTGTGGAGCCCTGCTGAGCCACGCCCAAGCCCCAGTCTATTTGTTCCTTATTTCATTTTGTATTTTGAGGTAGGGTCTGACTGTGGGGCCCATAGTGATCCCCAACTTAACTGAAAGACACCTAAAAATCGTTCAGTTCTTTTTCCACACGGCTCTCCCGAAGGGCAAGATGGTGTCTATCCTGCCTGCAAGGGGAGGCGTACATGTGTAGGAACAGGGCTGGGAGAGAGACCAGCAGAGAAATTGCGATTCGAAGCAGTGATGTGCTGCAGAGAACTGTCTGTGCTTAGCTCCTGAGTGGGCTGTCTGCCCATTTTCACTGAGCTGCTTACAGTTCTCCTGTTTACTGAAGAGTTACCCCCTGACTGCTGTTTGACCTCCTCGGGTTTATCTGCTTATCCCTACCTCAGAGTCCAGCCCACATTCCACCCGCGCTTCCTTGGCCAAGGCATCCTTTGTTAGCGTCCTGAAGACTGTGGTGCTGGCTCTCCTGCTCTGCAGGCTCTCTTCCTCAGGGCAATCTTCTGCACCCAAGGCTAGCCTGCTCACCTTCACGATGTAGAAAAGACTGACCTTCATCTGCTGTCTCCCTGTATCTTCCGTGAGGTCTTTCTCCTTACTACCTGCACAGATTTTTCTTCAGGACCCTTGGTGCTTCCCTGGAGCATCCAATTTTCTCTGGCATTTTCAGCTTCTTTCCAGGTGGCCCTGGCTTCCTCAGTCTCCCTCTGATGGGTGCGATAGTCCTGTTGATATTCTCCCTTAAGTGTGTTTCCCGGCGTGGAATTTTAGTTCTGCGGGATTCGAGACAGCTAGGCGCTCTGAATGACCCGTAGTTAGTAGTTGACTGACTCCGGATGCTACGTATCACCCATTTGCGTTATGGCCGTGGC